ATGCTGGCCAGGGGATTCTGGGAGTTGAAGTCTGCACATCTTACAGTTGCTGAAGTTGAGAAACACCAATCTATAGGAAATTTCCCCATAAAGCCAAAACTGAGTGATGGCAGTTCTAGGGACTGATGAGCAGGAAAAAGATAGCGTCAACCAACAACTGGAACAGCCAGTATTGGTACTCCCTGGACCACAAAACAACTGATTACCAATAATGTCAGGAAGATAGTTTGGTTAAACTATTTCCCCCATCTTGGAAAATTTGTGAGAAGTTTGGGCTAAGTTCTAACTATAAATGAACTAGCAAGATGCCCAAAACAGACGGGGGGTGGGGGTAGGATATATCTGAAAGGATATGTAGAGATGGATAGGTTCCTCACAATAATAAGTTTTTTATTTGCCTTGTACTATTTTGCCAAATCACTGGGAATTACGTGGTACAATTTCTATCTGTCTGTTTAAGTGTCATCCTAGATCCCTGAATAAGGTCTCACTTTGACATTTGGGATTTGCTCGGTCTGTTCAATGTTCTATGACTTTCTGGGTGAATTAACTGTTTTGAATGGGCATTTTTTGTAGTACTTGACAATTCTGTTCAAAATCAGTGGCTCAGTGTCCATAATGGTTCTCTAATTCTTCAGAACTGAATGAAGGAGGAATGCAGGTGAGAACGAGGTGAGGATCAGTAAGATGTAGAATATTATTCTACATACTGACAGCATGGAACATGCCGCAGCAGTGCCTGGTTGGTGCTGGAGAACATAATTATGCAAATAGGTGTGAGAAAACAGGCTTGCTGTGATATACACAGAAATATACACCAAAATATATATACGCAAATCATTGTGCATTTTTTTTTCTTTTTTCCTTTTCTGTAAATTCCAAGAGTTGGTTTCTCAGAACTAATTCTGGGCTGTAATACAATTTTTCCCTGAACTGGTAAGATATCTTAAGAAGACAAGCACAAAAGCTCATAAATACTGCTGTGTGTTTGAGGTTCGTTCAGATGACCTGGCAGGATCTCTTCCAGTGTTGTAATTCTTGAATTTGATTGCAATCCTTTTCACAGTATCACACCTCAACTGGAGCCAGTCTTTGCTCTGGCAATAAAATCTTTTGCCAGCATAATGCTACACTGTCTTGACTCTTAGCACGATCACATATATTTTGCATCTGATGGGTGGGTGTTGAGTATTTCGAGGTACTGACTGGTTGATGAATAGCCAATAGCACTTCTAGCTCATCCTCCCTCTAAGAAACAGCCCACTCCCACATTTCAGTGTCACTTGGGCCTACTAATGATAATTAAGCCTTGTGTTGTCATATGAACACATCTGTCCAGAAAAGAGGTGAGGAAATGCTATGAATTTTAGATACCAAGACAGCTTAAGGAGGAAGCTCTGCACTAGTCCTCACTGAACACTTACTTGACGGACCCCACGCTTGGCCACCTACGTCCCAACTTTGCAAAATGCTTCTTTGGTGAGTTGATCCAAAGGCCCACAGGGAAGTGAAGTTTCCCAAAGCGGGGGCTCCCGTCCTTTCGCTCATCTGAGAACATGATCACAGGGACCCGAAACTACTGAAAGACACAAGGGTAGGGAGGAGGAAGAGGGAGAGAGAAGCAGAGACAGAGAAATACAATCTGTAAGGCCAATTCTTGATGATTGTGGCCTTCCCCTGGTTGATGTCCTTTGACCTAAGCAGAGTGGCTTCTGCAGCATTTGGACGCAACTTCTCCAACTTGATGCTTTCTAGGTAAGTTGGATTATAGATCTCATCCCCTGTAGCTTCTTATTTTCCTTATATTTAAACATTGGCTTTCTGAGTGTGACTTAATATAGAGCAGAGCTGTTGGATATTAAGAGCATCGGTCACATAGAGCACAGTATTAACAATTTTATAGTAATTTCTTTCTTAAAACTGTATGGGTTTTTCGTACTTTAATATGGAAAGGCCATGAGCAAGGTAAGAGGTGTGGCAGGGCAGAGATGTGGATATTATCTGTGTACCACAATGATTGGAAAAAAAGAAGAGACACTATGGCATAGCCTGCCAGACTTATCACGTCTTAGATTTCAGAGTTAATGCTGATCTGGCCACGTGACAAGCTCCAACTTCTTCTCAGATGGACTCCAATTTGAGCAGCAAGGTTGGTGAGTTGGTGCTCTCCTATTAGGGATATCTGATCTGGGCTACAAAACCCCAGATGACCACTATTTGACAGCAAAGAGTTACAGAAACTCTTGATCCTTTGCTGCCACTTAATGGTTGCCCACATTTTTGTAGCCAATTCTGGTAGCCCTATGGTGGAGTCTCCTCTGCTTCTGTCTTTCCCTTACTTTGTTACCTCCAGTCTTGCTCCCATGCCTCTTACTCTGCAAAGGACACCTTTGTTTAAGGGGCTATCAGGTGGCAGTCTTTTATTTTATTCCAACTCCAGGTCTGTTTTAGGTAAAGAACCAAAAGAAGGAAGTGAGACTATGGATGGAGGTGTCGTAGCATTGTTCATCAATGCTTAGCACCTGGAAAGCATTGGCCCCAACATCGGACATGTGAGCAAATTAGCCAAACAACCCCTATACTTTTTCTAACCTCCACAAGATTTTTATTTTTAATAACAACTAAAAAAGGCAAGAAGGACTAATAATTCCACTGTGTGGGCTTGACAGATAAGAGGTTGAGTAGAAAAATGTTTAAAAGGTCTCCAAGTGCTTCTTCTCCCTCCTGTATCCCACAATCTGTGCAAAAGTAAAAGAAAAAAAAATTAAAATATTTGAAACTTTGAACTACGCCATCTGGCCTGTTTTAATGGTGCTGTAAACCATTTAAAGTATTCCATTTAAAAAAGCAGGATGCAGATAGAGTTACATATGTTGTACGTGTATATTTGCACATTTGCACAAACTTCATGCAGCCCTGAAATGAAGCTGAAAGACTTAGCTCTCCATTGCCTGTCTCAGTTTGGTTTGTCCTTGCCCTCCTGTTTCCCACTAGCTTGCCCTTCTCCAGCTTAGGGTATTTCAGATATGTTGGACTATTCCCAGAATTCCCAGGCAGCTTGCTGTTGGCCATGCCATCTGCCCATATACCTCTGGGCATTGTAGCCCAATAAATCTTGAGAGCACCAAGTCAAGGACAGCTGCTCTAGATCTTCTCCTTGCCTAAACCTTCCAGTCTCCAATGAAGTGATTTTTCAGGGGCTGCAAAATTCAGATCCAGACCAAAGAGGCAGCGAGAACAAATCCAGAACTTCCACCGTGACCATGAGTCATAGGCCCTGAATCAAACGGTTACGTCAACAGGAAAAGATGAGATAACCAGCTCTGGGGTCAGGATAGCTGGGCCTCACCTCACAAGAGCTGCTTAGTTCCTGGGATACTGGACACAATGGGGAGACACTATGAGATAAAGCAATCCGAGCCCCGAGCCCCACCCTATCCAATGCTTCCAACAGAGCCATGAAGTGCAGCTCCAGAACAGGATCCCTGCTGCTTTAATCAACTGATGCCTAGCACCTTTTCCTTTCTCCATAAAGCTGTGCAGCACAGAACCCAGGAGTTTTGGCTCTGCACTCGCCAAACGTTCTCATCATCTGAGACCAAAAATCAACTGATATTCCAAACCTGTGTCCCTTCCCCTTTTCCCACCCCCTGGAAAAAAAAGAATAAAACAAATAATGCAGGGTGCAGTATTTTATAATGGTATTCTTAAATTTGCCACTCAGAATCGGATGGCTGCCCGCAGTCTGTTACTTTTTCTCCCAGAGTCAACTTCCACATTATCAACTTTCTGCAAATATTGACTTGATAGAGAACACATTTTTGAGAGACAGTAAAGAATGGTGCAGGGAGACTGGATTTTCTAACATGGGATCAAAGTAATTGTTTAGTGCAAGGGGAAGCAAACCTCTCAATTCCTGGGTTTGGTGAGAAGAAGGCAGTGGTGGGAAGAGACAGAGCTAGAGGCAAAGAAATGCCAGTGCCAGACCTTATTAAGTTCCCTTTGAGATGTGGTGGGACAAATCAGGATCCACCTATACCCCCACCAGTCTCCCCCATTTTTCCACCTGTTTACTGTCCAGACCTTGTTTGGAAACTATGGTATAGTCTATGAAATTTGGCATGTGCACACACACACACACACACACACACATGCACACCCAGTCACAGACCGACATGATTACCAGCTACAGAGGATGTCCCAGATGTTGCAGCCTCTGCACATCACTCCCTTTCAGGCATCCCATGGGTCAGGCTCCATCTTCTGCTCCCTACGATCTCTGCTATGGTGTTCCTGTATATGCTGTGACTTAAATCCAGAATGACTGCGCACGGATTTCCCGTGCCTCTGGTCATTCACACACAGGAGGTGGGGCAGGAAAAGGAGATGGGGGTGGGTGGGCAGGAAACTGGCTTGAAGCAAGGCCTCTCCCAAGAACTGGGGAGGGCAGGGGAGCAGGGAAGGGGTTAGACAGGCCAAAACTTGAATTAGTAGGGGCAGGGCCAGGAAACCCCTTGCAATAAAACCAAGGTGGGGAGGAGATAAATTCTGACAATTAGAACAGGGGTGAGTTGACACTCTCTGTTGCAGTCATCAAATAGTGAGGCCTACTGATTTGACAATTTGGAGAGAAGGGAGCTGTGAGAAAAACTTGCCTGAACTGTGTTCCCAAAACTGTTTGTTCCCCAGATGTAAGTTTCAGGGTTTTGGCATATCACTATATGTACCAACACTTTTCCTGGCTATCCTAACTGCAACTATTAGTAACCAGGAGATATGAGCAGGTGATCATTCCTAATCACCACATTGTAAGAAGCTTATATATCAACCTGCTGAAGAAGATACAGGAGCAAGTTAAACTAGCATTTCCTTTGGGGTTAGCAGTCTAACACCTACAGCAACAATAGCACATGTGATTCCCCCAGGTGGCATGTGCAGGATCCCAAGATTCAATAAAAATAAATTAAAATGTTGGGAATCATGCAATATTGTCAAGTCCCGTAAGATATTGGATGAGAAAGTCAAAACTTTGTCAGAGTTTTCAACCTCCCAAGAGTGTGTGTACACACAAGCACACACATACACATCTCTCATTTTGGCACTCTCACAAGGGACCTGCAGGTTAATTGTGGATCACAGGTTGGGAACCATTGGGCTATGTCCGTCCTCCTGGTCGGTTGATGCTTTAATTTTCTTTTTTTTTAAGTGATACTTGAAATGGCATGCCTAATGTGAGAGTACTCACATGACTGGCTGTGTATAGGTGCAGATATTTTCCTGTGGCCTCTGCACATCAAATAATTACACTAGTAACCCAAGAATCTGGTGACACAAGCACTCTACTAACAGCAAGTACGGCAGTGACTACATTTCATGATGCACATACATATCTACAACAAGAGAGAAGAGGTCTATGCTTCTTTGAGATGGGTTCTTTAAATGGTTGATATAAATCTTACAAACCTAGCTTTACTAGAAGTTTAGGATGCAGATCACTCATACATTATTTCATATAAGCTCCATTCAAAAAGCTGGGTTTCTCAGGAAGACTTGCACAATACCTTATATTCCAGATGAACTGTTTCCCATGGAATCAGCAACTTGGAAAGAGTCCTAGGCAGGCCATGTAAACCAACCAGACTTGCTGGAAGGAATCCAGAGTTAGATCCTCAGTTTCCCCTAAGCTATAAATTCCCTATATTAAACATTTAGCTGAATAACTGACTCAAGCTTGCAGTCTTCACTTTCATACTTATTCTATGCAAATGTATTTTGTAACTGGTGATATAAACACACATTTTGATAACCTCGTACCTTTGGGTTGAGTCCAAATCTTTAAAAAATGATATATTTGAGTTGGTGTTATATATGAAAGGCAATATAGAAATATAGCATTATTATTACTATTATTGGTAGCCAAAGAGTTCATAGAGTGAAATAGCTCATTATGAATTTCTGTGCCTCTGGATAATTATTTTCTGTGCCAATCACAAAGATTTTGTAGATTGGTTTGATGATAGTCTTGGAAAGGCATGGTCACAAACTAAAAATAAACTAGAATTAGATAAAAGAACAGAAACAGGATCCTACTGAACTCAGTCAAAAGCCCATCCAGTTCTGTACACTGGATACTTTGGCAAAGCCCAGCACAGAGCACAAGACAAAGAAACTGCACCCATTCCACCCCTCCAAAAGGAAACAAGTTTAGCAGATGGGCAGAGAGGCGGAGGAAGTAATGAGACACACCACTGGGTGATTTTAAAAAGCTGAACCACAGTTGAGTTTGAGGCAGTGCTGAATCCATCCAGAGCATCACAGAATATGGGGGAAAGGCTGATTTTTGTTCTGCTGCAGGGTACAAACAGTTATGGAGGGATAGATTTTCATCAGTAAAACAGCATGCTGAGAAAAGGTAACCACCTTCTAATTCCAGTGTCTGTTTCAGTAGACACTGTCTGTTTCAGTGGAATGGTGTCTTCAGTGGATGCTGTCTGTTTCAATGGAAACTGTCTGTTTCCATTGACAGTTTCCTTTGAAAACACCACAGAAGAATAGGACATCAGCTTGCATGTTAAAAAAAATATATTATCCTAATAACTCTTAAATAACCATGTAGGAAGGCTATATTATTATTATTATTATTATTATTATTATTATTATTATTATTATTATTATTATATACACAACATGAAATCACAGCTGCCTGTTCTTTAGCTGGTGTTGGCCTTCATTCGCATCAAGTTCTTCCCAGGAACCTAGGCTGTCGTAATGTATTGGCATAGTATACGCATGGATCCAAGCAGCGTGGCCTTTTGTAATTGACAGATGGAAATTCTGTCAATGTGCCGATTTTCTAAGTGCTGTCCAAGGTTTTTAAGTATGGCACCCAGTGTGCTGATAGCCACTAAGACCACCACTGCCTGTTTATACCATAATCTTTCAACTTCGGTTTTCAGATCTTAATACTTTATGATTTTGTCCAATTCTTTGTCTTTTATTCCACTATCCCTGGTATTGCCATATCAATTATCCATACTTTCTTTTCAACCACAGTTAAATCTGGCGCTTTATGCACTAAAACTTTATCAGTTTGTATTTGGAAATCCCACCGTATTTTAACCTGCTCATTTTCGACTACTGTTTCAACTATATGTTCCCACCAGTTTTTCATTATTGGCAGATGATGATGATGACAATTCCTATTTGGCACCCAGAGGAGATAGCAAGGCTGAGGGGGAGAGAAGCCAGCTAGCCTCAGGCCATCTTGGGGGTTCAGCAGTGATTTGTAGTGAAGACTTCCTCAATCAACTCAGTGTTCAATGTCTCATTCAGCCCATCATTCCTCTTCTCTCCATAAAGGGTGGGAAACCAGGGCCAAGAGTCCATTAAATCGCCCCTATTCAGCAAAAGTAATCGCAAGGTAAGGAAAAGCAACAGGCTGTCTGCAGCAAGTACACTCTGCTTTACTTCAAAGCAGAAAGTGTGACTATTGGGGAAATATCCTTGGCACAGAAATGACAGAGGGTGGGTGAGCATATCTGTTTGGGGCCATGGAATAGCAGCCTCAGCAGTGCTGCCTGTCCATTCAATCTCGCACTTGCATCAAGAGATTTCCCGCACCTGTTTCCTGAGTTATTATTCCAGAGAAGACTTGTTTTCCCTTTGCCATACTCCACTTCATAGGCAGAGGATGGGGTTGTCCTGGTAGGGTGTGTAATCACTTTCTCGACCCCAATTTCGATTTTGGGTGTGTGCTTGCTCAGTACGTGAGCGTGCATTTCCCTTCCAACTATTTTCCTTAGCCAGTATGCCTGGGTGTGGGGAAAGGAGTGGTGTTTATGTCCTGGCTTCACACCTTTCCCGTTCATTATCTCTCGTGTATTTTGAGGTGTGGATCCTATGTGTGTATACAGGATCTTGTTTGAGAAGGCAAAAATCTTGGCAAGGCAATCTTGGGTTTTTGTTTGAAGCCTCAGATTTTGTGATTCCTTATATGGTAAAATAAACTGTGATACTTTCTTGGCTCTTTCTGTTTGTGCATAAATCACCTGTTAAGATCTGGATCAAAACCAGGATATGAGAGGAGGATTCAATCCTTTCTTGTACTGTTTTTCCAATTAAAACCAACTTGTCCTCTGAAGCAGCTGTCCATAACTATGTGTTCATATATATTGGACTACAGCTCCAGTTGTCAAGATAATAGGAAGATAGCTACGATAGTCCAACACATCTAAACAGCACAAGAGGAAAAATCTGTCTTGAATGAACTATTGAGAAAATGTACTAATAAAGGTTTCCACAGACAACTTACATATGTTCTTAATTTAAAGAGGTTGGAGAAGAAAATACTTCTTCAGAGGTAGCGCAAACAAATAGAACAAGGTCTAAACTAAAACATAAATAAATCTGAAGATTGGGGAAATCAAAGTTTCATATAAAAGAATCTGGGGACAAAAGCATTTAAAAATACCTAAAGATTTCAGTTGTTAGAAACATATTTATTGGGAGTGATTTTTCTCTTTGATTTTTTAACAATACTTCTGTTTGCATTTTGTTCTCTTTTGGCGGGGCGAAGATTCACAAATCTGCTCAAGTAACTAATAGTTGAACTGGAACAGGATGAAAGTGTACTTGCTGTTGCACCTCCCAGGCTATCTTCATAAAGGCAGTGGGAGATAGATCTTCATATCTTGCCAGGAAAAATTCCCTGTTTACGTTGCTCATCCCACTGATTTATCTGAAGAGCAAATAAGAACCTTAAGGAAGCTTAAGCACAGGCACAAGATATTATGGTTCTTGGAACAACAACAAAAATAGCAATATTCCTCCCTATGACATTGAAAATTTCAAAATCACTTAGGCCACCTTTTCTTACCTCATGTCTTGCAGATGTGCTTGCCGTCATCTCTCAAATTCCTAGACAGCAAACCCAGCAGTTTATGTAGACTAAATTATCTGGGGGTTCCTGGACTGGGGAACAGTGATCAAAGCGATTTACCATTTTTTGTCCATTAATGATAATCTAATATTTACCGTCTCACGTGCCTTCGCCAAGGAAAGATTGATACAGACACTGTTTGAAGAAATACTGTAATCAGGAATCACATCCTTGCATTATAGTAAATGGACTTGATCCAGATTTACAGCCTTTTCACAGTGGCAAAGTGATCCTTGATGGAATCCAGCCCTTGCTGTGATGACAGAAAGAGCTGCTGACATACTGATGCATTGCTGTCCTGTGTGTTTTGCTGCTAGCTGGTGTGTTATGGTTCAGAAAAAAAAGTAGGATAAGTCCTTTACAATCATGGCTGAGACAAGGCCACATCATAGGCTCTCCTGTTATATTATAATTAACTAATAAAGATAGGCAGGTTAGTCTGAAGCACTTCTGGATATTGGGCACCTTTGAAAATATTTATCAGACTGAGGATCAGTCTACTACTAGAGGTTTTGTGAATATTATGCACATGTTTAAATGGTCACAAACCTATAATAAACAATCAAGACTTTTCAAAATGAGGCCATGTTCATGGATATGGCAAAATGGTATGGGATGAATGCAGTTGTAATGTTCTTTTGAAAGGGGTGAACAGGTTACTAGACTTTCCAGAAAGTACATATTTTGCCAATTGAAATGATCCAACGCCCCAAAAAGGAAGGAAGGAAGGAAGGAAGGAAGGAAGGAAGGAAGGAAGGAAGG